CTCCCCCCACTGCCGCTTGTCCACGTCGTTGAGCCGGAGCCCGCGCGTCACGATGCAGGACTCGATGGCGTCGACCAGCCTCTGCATGTCCTCTGGCGGCACGTGCAGCCGGGCGGCGGACTGCGCGATGTTGAGCATCTGCTGCGACGTCAGGTCCCCCTTGGCCACCCAATCCGCCGCCTGACGACGGGGCCAGGCGGCGAGGTGCGCAGGTGCTCCTCCTCCTCCTCCGTACAGTGAAAACTGAGAAAAAGAATGCGCGATAAGGATGCTTAAGCCTTTGACGCCAATGTCGAAGCTTTTCGAGCGGGGCTGGCCATCGAGAGCGGTTGGCAAGGATGGGACGAAGAGGCGAGGATGCAAGGGTACCCTTGGGTAGGTGATCCATCCTTCCCTTTGGTTTCGACTGTATCCTGCTCCTCATATCTCCTCACTCGACCCTCCTCTCTCTAAGCTGAAGCAACGACCAAGACCAAATTGGACCGGGACAAGTCGGGGATCTCTGAGATCCAGCGGCTCTGCAGGATTTTTCGGGAAGCCGTGACTGTTGCAGAGCGCTCCAGAACGCTCTGAGAGCTTCCAAGACGCTCTCGAACGAATTACCTGGTCCTAGGCCCGCCCGCCTGACTTCTCCTACTCCAGCACAAAGAAAATGGGGGCGCAGGACCACCAGAGGGACCCAAAGATAGCGCTGAGAAAGTCCCGATAGCACGCAACATTAGTTATAATGCCATGCTGACGCAAAGCGATGCGTATCCACGGCAGCAGGATTGATCCACAGTCCTCGGGCTGGAGCTGGGCGACACCATTATCAACAAACTGCGGAAGGCACAAGATATCTTGGAATCTTGCCCCTCTGTGGAAGCTTGGTTGGCCACGCCATGACTGTCGAATTTGTGCAAAAACTTTCGCCTGTCTCCTAGGCCTTCGATCTACGGCCCAAGGCGGTGCCAAAGGCGACGCGACACGGTGCTGAGAGAGTCCGCAAAGGCACAGACTTCAAATCAAGGTGGCGAAACGGGTCTCGAAGGCCAAAGAAGCGCCATACTGCCTCCACGCAGCTCTGGCCCGAAGTGGGCTCAAGACGGGCGCACACGGCCCAACATGGCCCAAGATTCACCCCTACAGTGGGGGCCCGACCACAAGAGAAACCTTCCACAAGAAACCCAACCCTGAGACCCCAGGACGTCCATTGACTTTTGGTGTGGGAGCGTCACGCTCTCCATAGCAAAACCATCGAAACCCAAGAAACCCAGCGCACCCTGGAGGCAAGCAGGGTGTTTCTTGGCATGGGCCCCCACTGTAAGGCGACCCCAGGATGGCCACGACCTGGCCCAGGAGACCCCTGGACTGCCCCGACGCGGCCTAAGACAGACCCAGGGCGGCCCCAAGGCGGCAGCCTGAAGGCCCAGGGAAGGCCCCCAGGGCCCAAGACAAGCCCATTGTGGAGGCCACTATACAAGAAACCTTCCACAAGAAATCCAGCCCTGAGACCCCAAGGCGCCCATCGATTTTTCGTGTGGGAACGTCACGCCTTCCACAGCAAAACCATCGCATGCTCTTTTCCTAGAAGGGGCCACCATCCTCCAAGAAGGCCTTCGAAAAGGAGGGCTTCCACGGAACCCCCTGCGACATGGGTCCGTGCGTGTGACGACAGAAGGACTCCAGCGACAAGACGACAGACAGTTTCACGACAAGGAGACCGCGAAAGTGGGAGATGAACGCTCTCGATTTCGCTCGCCCCCCGCTTTCGCTCACCTCCCGCTTTCGCTCGCCTCCAGGTTGCGCTCGGTTCCCACTTTCGCGTCGCCTCCTGGCTTCGTTCGCCTCCCGCTGTGGCTCGCCTCCCGCTTTCGCTCACCTCCCGCTCTCGCTCGGGCGTTTTCGGTGGCCTCCCACTCTCGCTTCGCCTCCCACTTTCGCTTCGCTTCCAACTTTTGATTGGCCTCCCACTTTCTATTTCGCCTCCCACTGTCGCTTCGCCTCCCACTTTCCGATTCGCCTCCCACTTTCACTTCACCTTCCACTTTCGCTTCGCCTCCCACGTTCACCTCCCACTTCCGTTCGCCTTTCGCCTTCCACTTGCATTTGCCTTTGGCCTCATACTTTCGTTCGTCTTTCGCCTCCCATTTTCGCCTCCCACTTCCGTTCGCCTTTCGATCGCCTCTCATTGTTCTTTGCCTCCCACTTTCGTTCTCCGTTCGACCGCCTCTCACGTTCGCCTCGCACTTTGGTGCGCCTTTCGATCGCCCCTCACTTTCGCTTTCCACTATCGTTCGCCGTTCGATCACCTCTCACTTTCGCCTCCCACATTCGTTCGCCTCTCGGTTCTTCCTCATTCGCCTGCCACTTTCGTTCGCCTTTCGATCCTTCCTTTCAGAGGCGAAGCGAAAGTGGGAGGCGAAGCGAAAGTGGGAAACGCAGCGAAAGTGAAAGACGAAAGCGAAAGCAGGAGTCGAAGTCAAAGGAGGAGGCGACACGAAAGTGGGAGGCGAAGCGAAAGTGAGAGGCGAAGCGAAAGTGGGAGGCGAAAGTGGGAGGCGATCGCCTCCCTCTCTAGCCCTCCTTGTCGTGAATTAAAATCACCCTGTCGCGAATTTGTCTCAAGCTGTCGTGAAGTAGTCTCACCTTGTCTCGAGAAAGTACTACCTTTCTCTGCGTCGTAGAAGGCCGTCCCCCTCACGTCCCCGCCTCCTGCTAGGAGTCCCGAGACGGTGCGGTGACAGACCGTGCGGTGACCTCGGAGTCCTCAAAGACCTCACCACACGGACCGCGATCGCACGGTTCTGGACCTCGGAGGCCCCAGCCGCCCGAGACGCCCTCGGAGAACGACCCGAGTCCCAAAAGCGTGAGCGACGAGAATGATGAGCACGCCCGCACATGGGCATCGTCATACCACGAAATGTTCCAAGAACCCAGCAATGTTCTTAGAATATAAACCCGATGCGTTCAAAACAAGATCATATAAAACAGAAACGTTCTAAGAACATTTCGTGGGAACCACAAACAGTTCTTAGAACATTGTTTGGTGGGGCTATAAGCGAGCCGGGACGCTTCGCCACTGCTTGAGCACATGGGCATCGTCCAGGGTGCTGCGAGAACGGCGCCGGGCCACCGGAGCGACGGGAAAGCTGGGGCCCGCCCAGAAGTCCTGTTCGATATTGATTTCAGCTCCGCTGCTGCAACTTCCAACATACATATACATATATATATATATATATATATATATATATGAATGTGGTCGCCCCCCCCTATGATCATACAGATTCGTCTCTCGCGCGGCCACCGATCGATATCTTCGCTCTCCGTTTCCTTCTCCTGTCCCTCCCCGCCTCTCCTCCTCTTCCTCCTCCTCCTCCTCCTGCTCCTCCTCATCGGAATCTTCGAAATCTATATATATATAGATATATCCTGCCCTTGAAGCTGAGGATCCTGCCCAAAGCCGTCAGGTGGCCCCGAGTCCCGACGGACTCACCGCACGGTCTGTGGTCACCGCACCGCTCGGGAGCCCCCCCCGCGATGCTCAGCGCGCGCCGCCGAGCCGGCCGGCTGGGATCTCCTGACCCGGGTCAGTCCAGACCCGGGTCTGTCAGGCCTTGCAGGATCCACTTCCCCTCCTCCCTCGCTCCCCCTTCTCACTTCACACTTCTCACTCTCCCCCCCCCCCTCGCTCGCTGCCGAATCAACACCGAACCAGACATGTTGGCAGCGTGGGGGAGGGAGCGCACCTTTCACGTCCGCCCGCCTCGGGGACCTTCTGACCCGGGGCAATCAGGCCTTGCAGAATCCTGCAGGATCCTGCAGGATCCTGCACCCAAACCCGGGCCAATACGAAAGCTCCTGCAGGGACCTGCACCGAAAAAAAACGGGTCAGTGCGGCCCTGGCCCCGCAGGATCCTGCAAGGTCCAGCGCTCTGGCTGACCCCCGTTTGAATCGACCCCCGCCTCTGGAGCCCCGAGGCAGCTGGGGGATCCGGCGGGGCCGGGAAGAGGCAGCGCCTGATGGGTCAGCAGAATCATGAAGTTCATCACGGACTGAGACTTCTGCCTCGTCGGGCGGGTGGTAATGTTACAGTCGGGGCTGATTGGACAGGACACGCGAGAGGACACAAGATCCTTCCGAGCGCCACATTGCAATAGGAATGTAAGAAGGCATGGGTCACGAAGCTGAGGACACAAGCGTACCCTTGATTTGGCAGGGTCGACCTACTAATCAGTCTCGACTGTAGATCGGGCATGTCCTCTTGCTGGCGGATTTTCGACGAACCAAACAAAATAGCCAACAAAATGCTCATAAAGGGTCACAGATACTCAGAGAAAATCGTCCCTCGCCTATGTTTTTGACTCTTTTTGAATATTTCTCATGTAGAGGGACGTGCCCGACTTAATGGTAAAGGGGGGTGACCCAAATGGAGGGTGATGGAAAGGGCCCTAAAGGGGCCATGTAGGGCCCCTTTGGGGCACCAGCTTGCTCCAACAGGAGCCCCAAGGGGCCCCATTGAAGGCCCTTTTCTTCACCCCCCATATGGGTCACCCCGCATTACCACCCGCCCGAGCCTCCAGTGCGACAGCGCCACCGCGACGCCAGCGAGGTCCCGCCAGGTCACGGTGATGTGCGCGCCATGCCTGGAACAGCCCATGTATTGGGCATCTCGGCTCGTGTCTGTGAGTGGTTGGGTCTGCTGGCTTGGGCATGCGACAAGAGCTCCCTGGAATCGGATGTGGCATCACATGCCTGCCTTTTCAAATCTGCGAAACTGGATTTGGCAACATGCTTACAGCGTGCATCTCGGAGTGCATCTGCGTGTCTCCAACTGCGGCCGGCGACGACGGCGACGACGGCGACGGCAAGGACAACGGCGAGGAAGAGGAAGGAGGAGGAGGAGGAGGAGGAGGAGGAGGAGGAGGAGGAGGAGGAGGAGGAGGAGGAGGAGGAGGGGGAGGAGGAGGACAAGGAGCTGACAGGCGGAAATCACGGCATTCACGTCAGCGAAACGGGCTCCTGTCGTGGCGCAGGCCGTTCGCAGGGGTCGTCATGCGCAGCATCATCTCCTCCAGCCGTACCCCGACCACCTCCGCCGACCCCTCCGCCACCGCCTCATCCTGCTCCATCCCTCTTCTCATCCCTCTTCTCCTCCTCCTCCTCCTCCTCCTCCTCCTCCTCCCCCTCCTCCTCCTCCTCCTCCTCCTCCTCCTCCTCCTCCTCCTCCTCCTCCCCCCTCCTCCTCCTCCTACTTCACTTCCTCCTCCTCCTCCTCCTCCTCCTCCTCCTCCTCCTCCTCCTCCTCTCAAACACATGCGGCTCGAGGTTCCTCCAAAGCTTTCAGCTCAGCGAGGGGCCTCCAGCCGCGTCTAGTGCCTTCTCGAGGCGACTGGGGGGCTCCGACTCTGCCGCATGCTGATTGGCTGCAGCAACTGCCAGATGGCGAGACTGGAAGAATTTGTTGAGCACGGCTACGGCAGGTTCGTGCCGTGTCGGCCTGGGCGTTCAACGACGGGCCAATTCTGGGCCACGGGCGGCGTTCAACCTTAAACGCACGCGCTGGGGTCGCCGCCAGTCGACACGACGCGAATCTGCAGTACGTTTGCAGTAGCCCGTGACCGACGTCCTGTGTATCTTCTCCTGGTGCGCTTCGTGATCTCCCGGGCAAGCCGTCAAGTCCTCGCGTGTGCTGGCCTGGGCACGTGCCGATCGGTGTCACTCATGACCTCGATTACCAGGTCCTCGATCAAGCATTGTCTACATGGTATCGCAGCTATCTGGGGGTGGGATGGTGGTGTGGTGCGCTGAGGGGTGCCCTATGGGTCTGCAGCGCGTACTGGCGGCAATGCACTCCCAGTTCGTGTCCACTTCTCGTGTGCTGCAGCCTGCTGATCTGGTGTGGCCCGCGCCCTGTTGTCCAGGGGGCTCGGTACTCTGCTGGGCGCCTCTCCCTCCCCACCTCTGACAATTCCCACCCTCAGTACTGCATCGAAGGCTGCATCGAAGGCGAGGCTTGACGCTGTAAGAAGAGACTGCGTGCTAGGTGGCAGTTCTTGGTATGCTGCTTAGGGTGTTCTTGTCTCACCCCGAACCTCCATCGTCCCAGGACGCCGTGTTTGTTGTGACATGCCTTCGGGTCAAACGCGAAACCTTAGTAACAGCTGACTGGTCACTGTGAGGCCCGCGCACAGATTGGCTGGCCTGTAATGCGAGCTGTGGCAAGGAGTTGGCAGAGAACGCGAGAGTAGCAATCAGTCAGAAAGCGAATAAACGCTGCTTACATAACAGGATGGGAATAGGTACTCTAGTACGGGCACGGAGATGTTCTGTCGTGGCTGAAGGCACTGCCAGCCTAGTAGGCTGGCCAGGTGGTGCTGGCTGACCTAGCAAAAGGTTCAACTGGAATGGCTGGTCTTACTCCTCGTCAAACTCCTAAATCATGCCCGCATCCACCCCCTTCCCTAGTAGAACTTCAAGGTGGTCAGAGCCTCGCACGCCTCCAGCTACCCCCATCAACATCACTGAGGTGGGCTAGTACGGGCATGCTGGATGTGCTGGCCTTGCTTAGCCCTGACAGCACTTGTAGGCTGGCCAGGTGGTACTGGCTGGCCTTGGCAGTGAGAGTTAACCATATCATCATACGTTTGGTTGTGTTGGCCAGGCGGGCACAAAGATGGCAGTGGCTGGGTGCCGAGATGGTATGCGTGCTAGCTCTGATGATACGGTGGCAGACCATGGGCTGCTACCTGTATCGGTTATATTGGGTGCCCCTACTGTGTCCAGGGGGGGCCTGAAAGGTAAAAGTGTTGGCGACTGAAAAGAAAACACGTGTGAAGCTGCGTGGAGGAGGCTGGCAAGGTGGCAGCTGCGAGTGCAGCTCCTCCTCCTCCTACTCAATCCTCCTCCTCCTCCTCCTCCGCCTCCTCCTCCTCCTCCTCCTCCTCCTCCTCCTCCTCCTCCTCATCATCATCATCATCATCATCATCATCATCATCATCATCAGCAGCTAGTGGTAGTACGCATCAGCAGCATCATCATCATCAGCAGCATCATCATCAGATCATCATCATCATCATCATCGTCACCGTCATCATCATCATCATCATCATCATCATCATCATCATCATCATCATCATCATCATCATCATCATCATCATCATCATCATCATCAGCATCAGCATCAGCATCATCATCATCACATCATCACATCATCATCATCATCATCATCATCATCATCATCATCATCATCATCATCATCATCATCATCATCATCATCAT